TGTTTTATTCCATGCACGACCTTCCGCTCCTTCATCCTAGAACCCACAATGGGTTCTTGGACATGCAGTATGACGATAGGTACACTCCTTTCCTGCAAAGAGCTAGCCTAGATGTCATCTCTTTTTAGGTTTGTCGTGGGTGCCCACATTGAACTCAGGGGCCTTAACTGTGCTAGTTGACAGGTATTATCTTCAACCATTGCCTCCATTTGTACGCATTTCTTCATGCGCTTGCCTTTCTGACATATAATCTTGCTTTATCTAAAATGTAGGTGGCGGCTAGAGACTCACAGCTTTCACTTGCCTTTCGGAGAGATGACAATCATGCTCTAGGATTGTCAGAAGATGCTAGGTCTGAGGATTCACGGCAACACAGTGACTGGGCCGTGCAGGTCAGAAGGTTGGAGAGCACGAGTAGAGGCCTTCCTTGGGTGTGAGGTGGGTGAGCAAGGGGCTTGCACTTTTGGAGTTCTAATCTCCTAGCTCCGGCAAGAGTTCGCATAGTGCCCTGAGGAGGCAGACGACGAGACAGTTGGGTACTATTGTAGGGCACGGATCCTACACCTATTTCCCTATGTTCTCTTCCCTGACACAACAGGGGACACTGCGTCGTGGATGTGGGTCCACTGCCTCACTGACTAGGACCAGGCGGGTCAGTACAACTGGGGCTCTACAGTGTTGGCTTTTCTTTACCGGTAGCTTTGCGAGGCGTGTCATCGGACTTCATCCTCAGCCTCACTTAGTGGATGCGTGTACTTACTCCAGTTGTGGATGTGGGCTCGTCTACCAATTGGCCGTCCTGAGGTTCTTGCTCATCGTGACTGGTTCCTAGGTCAGCCTCCACGTCGGTAGCCAACGTGGGCGTACCTTTGGGACCAGGTTAGAGTTCCGCACGTGAGGTTAGAGCGGGCGTACATTGAGTTCAGGAATGAGCTAGACATGCTTTCGTCCAAGAGTCAGGGACGACGACACGCGTAGCTTCCTAGACGTAAGATTCTAAAAATTCTTTCAAGTATAATATTAGTACGTTAAATTCTTTCAGTTAACATGATTTTGTACAACAGAGACTGTCACTTTGGCTACGTCGTGCGGCTGCTCATTGTGGTTGCAGGAGAGCCATGACTCAAGACGTGCACGTTCCTTCTATAGGCAGAGGAGACTTAGGTTCATCTAGCCAAGCACCTATAGGATCCATAGGCATTGCGTACAAGGACAAGGATGAGGACAATGAGGAGGTGGAGCAGAGGCACGAGGAGCTCAGACTGTCACAGCTACAGGACGCTCCCTTGACTCAGCCTACACAGCCTACAGGCACTAGGCGACGCCGTCCACCTGGCCCTTTCACTCCAAGCACCGACGTTCTTGGTCACATGGGTAAGGGTAAGACTATGAGATAGTGAGGGTTTGTGGTAGAGTTTATGGTAGATGTTATTATGAACTATTATGGACTTTGTGGACTTTCATTATGGACTATTGTGTATTGTATGGACTATTATTATGGACTGTATGAACTACTATAGACTTTATGGACTATTATGAACTCTATGGACTTTTAATATGCTCATGGATATGGTTTGAGATAAATGTGGTATATATTTGTGTATCTGTACATGTTGTATTGTGGTCATATATTCATGTCATATTTGTGTAAGGATTGAATCAAAAAATAGGGGAAACTCTGTCAAAATTTTAAGGCTGAAGTACATTTGTTCAGTACACCTATAGCATCTAGCCTTTTCAGTGCTTTCTCATGTCACTGTCGTATCGTACACAGACTTCTACAGATGAATTGATTGATTGCTGGAATCTAGCCTTTTCAGTTTAGTTTTTAAATAGGGTTTTCAGTTTTCAAATAGGCTTTTCAGTAATCAAATCTAGGCTTTTTAGTGTCCTTCGAAATAGACTTTTCAGTGATACCAAGTAGGCTTTTCAAGAGCATTTATGCCACAATACAACGGATACTAAATCTTGGGCTGCCTATATATACATAGTGTTGCATGCGTTGCTACTCACTTTAAACGAGTATTTGATTTCATTGGAGTAGGAATGTCTGGAGGGTCATCTAGAGAAAAGGGTTTAGGCAGTGGTAGAGAAAAGGAGGGGACGAAGGGAACTCCCATTGTGTGGGAGGGGTCTCTTGACCCTGATTTCTTTGAGGAAGCAGTGTATCATTTTCCCCCCGAGAGCAAGAGTGATTTCACCAAAGAGTGTCCCCTAAGAGGATACGATAACCGGAAAGAAGATTGGCCAAAATGCATGCATGGTGAGGACTGTTTAGTGCAGATGTTCATCGAGGGTATGGATGGAGGTCATCGCTTCTTTAAATGCCCGCGAGCATGGGTAATTGCTATTACTATTCATTTGTTAAATATGTTTCTCGATTGCACTACAACTTACAAGACATACTTATTGCAGTCTTCCAAGTCCGAAGAAACTGTGTGTTCACTAGGTGGGTCGATCCTATACCAATTTATCCGCATCAACAGTACATCTACTACCTGCAGGACCGTATCTTTGATCTAGAAAGGGAAGTTAGCAGTGGTTACAAGGAAGACGAAGACGACGACAACAACAATGGTGTAGGTTCACAGGAGACACTCTGCAATGATCCATATTGCATATGCCCTAATCACAAGAACAATGGGAGGCTACTGTGGAAAAGGTGCAACATAATTTGTTATGTGGCCACACTACTAGGACGAACCTATCTTATTCACATGCGACATCCATATGTTTGTTGTTTGCTTCAATTACCTAAGGCATGTTAGGTTTAGTCGAAAGACCTATGTACCCTTGTTTGGTACAAGTTCTCACATGTCATTTTATGTGTTTGTTGTTCGCTTCAATTGTCTAAGTCATGTTAGGTTTAGTTTAGGACCTCTGTACCCTAGTTTGGTACACGTTCTCATATGCCATTTCATGTGTTGTGCGTGTTGAATTATATAATGCACTACTTCGTTACGTTTTATTTGCACTACATGAACTCATCTCACTACCTCAACAATATTAAACTGAATATTATGACCACAAATAATAAAACCAACAACACCATGAAAAGTCCAATACTAGGGTACATTAAACAACAAAATAACAATAGAAATACATGTCGATGAACTAAATAACGCAGAACATGCCCTAAGTACGTCCATACTTAAAGTACATTACATGACAACATAATGCAAAGTCCAAGACTAGATAACATTGTAAAATAAACCATAGAACTATCAAGTCATGCAGACTATTGAGTGCAACGAGGCCACTTTCCCTTTCTCAGGGCATCGGGATTCTCCTCCATCGCTATCTTCACTCGGCGTGCACGCTCAAGCTTCTTCTCCCTCTCCTCCCTGTACGTAGCAACACACTTTCTTTCCTCCTCTTCCTTGTGCTCCTTTTCTGTAGCCTCCTCTCCACGTCTCTTCTCCATCATCTCCTTGTCCTCTGCCTCCCACCGCAACAGTTTCTGCATCCACTCCTTGTCTTTCGGCTTGATCTCAGTGTTGATCCACTGCTCAAAATTACAGAGCAGTGGAGGGATCTGCAACAAATGTAATTGTTACAAAACAAATAAATCATGCAAGACTTTATTTGACATAAAATAATTATTACACAACATCAATTTCTCACCATCTTGTTAATGCGGCGCTGACGAAGTATAGGCTCAAACGCAAAATTGGCACACATCCAGTACCTCTGCATATACGTGTCTTCTTCATCGGACTTGGCTACCTTGCAAGGATCACCGCACCAGCACATGGGCACTGAAACACCACTAGACAGAGGTAATGGATCAAAGGCATTTTTGGTCATCCGACCATAATTACAATTCAACCAATTTTGTTCTAAGAACCAAAAGCAAGAACATTAAATCCTAAGCCTAGGGTTTCCCATTTGATGCGCAACAATGAACGCATAATATCCTAAGAGGCGCTGATGTTACCTTGGTTTGCTAGCTTTTTCACGCCTTGGCATCCTACGGTTGTATAATACATACAAATATTAAAAAGTGCATTAAATCCTTAGTAATAACGATTCTTAGGTTGAAAAATACGACAAATATATATCGAATCGATACGAAAAAAATAGGAAGGGAGAGAGGATACCTTGCTCTCAAAGACCTACGGATCAAATCCAACTTTTCACGGTCCAATATGTCGATTCGTGAGGTAGGGTGAAGTAGGGAGAGAAAAAACCCAAGAGGGAGGAGGAAGAAAAGGAAGAAGACTCGGACAGGAAGGGTGGGGGCTGATTTAAAACACCACCACAGCGCTATAGATCTTGACGCCATGCTCGGCGCCAAAAATTATGGCGCCATGCTCGACGCCAAAAATTATGGCGCCATGGTGGTTGCCATGTCAACGTCATGTCTACGTCGACGCCTACGTCAGCCAATGACCTTGGCGCCAAAGGTTCTGACATCGGCGTCGAGCTGAGGATCTAGATTTTGAAAACATATCTCTAAGGATAGATTTGTGAAAATCTTTCAGAAAAAGGGCTAAAAAAACAAAAAAAATCGGCTTAAAACAAGTCCTTGTACACATCTCGGCGCCAATTCCAACGGCGCCGAGCTGAGGGTCTAGATTTTAAAAGCATACCTCCAGGGACAGGTTTGTAAAAATCTTTCAGAAAAAGGGCAAAAAAAAAAAAAAAATCGGCTTAAAACAAGTCCTTGTACCAGTTGCTCGTCTGCACCAACGCAGAGCAAAACTTCCAATTCCTCTCCGCACTTTGCAAGAGCAAGCACAATCATCCTGGCTCAAATTCCATGCAATTCGTTCACTACGAGCAGTTGAGTACCAACCAAAACAGCGCATAGCAATTCGCCTCATGGATCCCACATTGATTCAATTTATTCTTGCCCACGCATGACAAAAATAGTTTATCAGCTTTCTCTCCCTTGTCACTCTAATGATCACCACAATTTTTTCTTTATTGCACGCTCGTGCCTGTTCCGTGCCTAGTAAAACTGTTTTCACTAGTAAGTATTACATGGTGAACGAACCCTAGGGTGCTGCTGCAGCTGCAGGAGCCTTCTGGGGCTTCTCCACAACGATTGCCTGGGTAGTCAGCACCATTCCAGCCACCGAGGCGGCGTTCTGCAGGGCGCATCTAGTAACTTTGGCGGGGTCGATCACACCAGCCTCCACCAGGTTCTCATGCTTGTCCGCCATGGCGTTATAACCAAACTCCCATTCGCTTTCCCTGATTTTATCCACAATCACCTCGCCTTCCACCCCAGCATTATGCGCTATCAACGCTGCAGGTGCCACCAAAGCCTGAAAATAACCAGTAATATGTATCAACAACATTTCTTAAAAAAAAATAAAGAAAACCATAAAGTCCAGATGCTAAGAACAACAATCAATACCTTCTGAATGATATCAGCACCAAGGCGCTCTTCAGGATCATCCAACGTCTCCTTGATAGCCGGTACGAATGTTGATAGATGAACATAGGCTGCACCACCTCCTGGAACAATACCTTCCTCTATAGCTGCAAAAGTTGCATTCTTTGCGTCCTCTATGCGGAGCTTGCGGTCCTCAAGCTCTGCCTCGGTTGAGGCTCCAACCTTGATCACAGCAACTCCACCAGAAAGCTTTGCAATTCTCTCTGCCAACTTCTCAGAGTCATAAGCCGAGTCCGTCTGAGAAAGCTCTCTTTTCAGCTGAGCAATTCTGGCCTGGATATCATCTTTGCTAGCAGCATCTGCTATAATGGTCGTTGAGGAACTTGAGATTGTAACTTTCCGAGCTATGCCAAGCTGCTCCACTGTTGTATTCTCAACTAGTAGACCAAGATCTTTGGATTGATATTCAGCACCTGAACAAAAGATATACATGCAGAAACAGATCAGAAAACCACTGGACTTTCAAGTTCAAGTTAGAAAATCTATGCATGTGTTATTTCACAAGGTCCAATCAATTCGTTGACACCAAACACAATTCTTGTGCTAAGCTCATCGATTGGAACTTACCATTACAAAGTTTTTATTTCTACCTAAACAATAAGGAATACCATCCATATTCTAGTAGGGGGGGGGACAGGGGACATTGGTTGACAATGGTAAACATCATAAGAATACTGACCAGGGTACAAACAAACTTGCAGAAAGCAGCGAGTAGTTTTACCTGTAACAATGGCAATGTCCTGAAGAAGAGCTTTACGCCTCTCACCAAAACCAGGAGCCTTGATTGCAGCCACATTTAGAATTCCTCTAAGCTTGTTTACGACTAATGTTGCCAGCGCCTCGCCACTTACATCCTCTGCAATTATAAGAAGTGGTGCTCTTAACTGTGTTGTCTGCTCCAACAGAGGAATGATTTCTTTTATCGATGATATCTTCTGATCAGTGACAAGAATCCGAGCATTTTCAAACTCAACAGTAGATTTTTCAGGATTGGTGACAAACTGAGGGGAGATATATCCTCTGTCGAGCTGCAGGCAGAAGGGAGAAACAATGAACTATTTCAGCACCAAGAACGACAAGCTTTACATATTAATAAACTACAAAACAGAAAACAGGCATCAGCCAAGGAGCAGTCCTTGCTAGGCTAATATATATTACCTCCATCCCTTCTTCAACTTCAACTGTCGTGTCAAATGATGATGATGACTCGATTGAGAGGACACCATCAGGGCCAACCTTGTCAATAGCTTCAGCGATCATAGTCCCAACAAATTCATCATTTCCAGCTGATATGGCAGCAACAGCTGAAAGGAAAAGGCAGCAACATTTTATAAAGCATGTCCTCCTTTCCCAAGGTATAAGATCCATTTGCAAGCTTGTGAAAACAGACCCTAGATGTGTCTAAAAGGCCAGACCTTTAATATCCCCGCTACCCTTGACTGGCCTGGACTTCTTCTCAAGTTCCTCCACCAATTTCTGAACAGTCTTATCGATGCCCTTCTTAACTGACACTGGATTTGCCCCTGAAGTAATGCTCAACATACCCAATTTTATGATTTCCCTAGCGAGAACAGAGGCAGTAGTGGTTCCGTCACCGGCAGAGTCATTCGTCTTGCTAGCAACCTTTCATTTGGCAGGCAGATAAATGCATGAGTTACGCCCATGCCCATGCCCATGCGTGCTGAACTTGCGCAAGATAACAAACAAAATGAAGCAGATAAGAGGTAGAGGGAATGGTGCTTACTTCACGAATCAATGCGGCACCAGCGTTCTCCATGGGATCAGCGAGCTCAATAGAGCGAGCAATGGTAACTCCATCATTGACCACTTTGGGGGTTCCAAACTCATCAAGGACAACATTCCTACCTGCCAGTACGGAACAATATGGAAACCAAGTGAAAATCAGCCCAGACGTTGAAAGAGACCATAGGAGGAGGTGGGCAACAAAAGACCGGTTTTTGGAAACCCAAACATCATCAAGACACATCAAAGGGAAAAAAACAACACAGCTCACAAGTAAAAAGGTGATAGTGTCACTGTCACATCTGAGTGTTTTGCTGTAGGATATGATAGGATGTGAAACTGAAAACATAAATGAAAGAATCTCATGAAAGAAAGGCTGCCGGAGACAAGTACACTGTGCAACCTTTTCCATGTCTAGTAATAATAGGCAAAATACAAAGGGCCGGTGTTAACATGGTTTAGTTGAACCAGTTTGGCTGCAGCACCAACTAATGACCTAGCACAGCAGCATGTTGTGAAGCGGAATTACCAAAAACTTGTGAGTCGTAATAATGTGAACTAGTTAGAAGTAATAATAATCCTTCCGAGGTAGTAGTACAGAAATCGTGGGATATTATGTGATGATATCCTAATAAACTAAATAAATCGTGGGGCAAAAGAGTAGAACAGAGCATGCATGTTTGGCTTGGGCAGTATGGAAGAACAGGAACAAGATGGCAATCGAAAAAGAATTTCCCACTAATCCAGATGTGGACAGACCTGCTAAAGGGGAAGGACAGAAACAAGATGAAGCAGAGGGTTCATTGCTTGATCGAGTGGATGAGTAAGAATGAGCCGATCAACGAGCCTTCTTCTGACACTATGTTCATGCTAATTGTCCGTAGACAGTGGTGAGAGGTTTAGAGAGTTTGTTTGTTCTATCTTAAATTAATTGGCTTTCTTAAAAGCAGACATATCCTCCTTTAAAAAAAACAGAGATATTATCCTTTTCCCAAAAGATAAATACTGTAGAGCAGAGCACAGCGGCACGGCAGGTGCGCGAGAGAAGATGAAGACGGAGATGAGAGAATAGACCTCTGGGTCCGAGGGTGACGCCGACCACGGCGGCGAGCTTCTCGACGCCGGCCTGAAGGGAGGCTCTGGAGGCCTGGTCGAAGGCGATCTCCTTGGCGGAGGCGCGCACGAGGAGCTGCGGGCGACGGCGGGCGGCAGCGGGAAGCTTGGCGGACGAGGCGGCCCTCCTGGTCCTCCGGAGGACAGCGGAGGTACCGAGGAGGAGGCCGGAATCTGTGGTGGGGATGGTGGCCATGCCTGCTCCTGCTCCTGCTTGGGGTCTAGCTAGGGTTTTGTTTTGGGGATTGGCGGCGGCGGGGGATCTGGCTTGCCTCTCTCTGGCTGCTGTGACTAGTTTAGCGTGATACTCCCTAAGCTGTACTCTGTGGCGTGATGGACAGTTATATGGCTCATCCTGCATCATTTGATGTATTTGTCTGTGTTTAGTTGCTCTATTCATATCTTTTTTTTTTTTCTTTCTCTCGTGCAAATTCTCTCTTTCATCTCAGAGGGCGCCGTCTTTTCGATCCCCACTTCCCTCTCGGTGCAGGCTTGCTCGGTGCTTGGCGAGAACCCTTTGCGGAGAGCGCGGGAGATGAGGCCATCCTGGCGATAAAGCGTGCGCGCGGGTCGTGGCTAGGGTTACCGCCCTCACTCTTCGCCTCTCCTTCTGCCATAGCTCTGGTGCGAACTCCCCTCTATCTCCCCTCGACCTTGGTAGCCCTGCTGAGGCGACCACCGTCGGTGGATTTCTCTCGGTCCTCCGACGCTTCGACGGTATATATGCCACCTGCGCTCTTCCCCTCCTCCTTCTTTAGTGTCGATTTTATTGATTTGTCTGTGGATTTTGCTTGCAATACCAAGAAATTAGAGTTCTTGGTTTGACATCCTCAGATCTGTGCGATGCTATACCTGATTTACCTGTTTCTAGCTCAGATCTATACATGATGCTTTGTATTTGGTGTATAACTCATGTTTTGTGTAGATCTTGTACATGCTGATGCCTATTTTATTGTACACACTGAGCAAAGTGCCTAAAAATCAGTAATGTTGATTGTGTAATAGTATATGCTGGAGGAGCACCCTTTGGTGTGGCAGCCGCGTCTTTCATATTTTATTTTGTCTGTTTTTTTGCTTGCTAAGCAGTACACACCCATGTTGCATGCTCCCTTTCTAATGTTGCCCTACATCCTTTTGGTAGACATGGCCTTTGAAACTAGGCGCAGGGCTACCGCTGCTGTGGTTGTTGCAGTGGTTGCTTGGTTTTTCATGTGGTTTAGGAGGAGAGTTGAAAATTCACGCTCAGTCACCTATGGTCCCATGGCCAAGAGGGACAAACAGAGGATGAACAACTTTAGATACATCTATGAATCTGATGATGTGCACTATGTCAACTTTCTTAGAATGAAGAGGACCCCTTTTTCCAACTTTGTGATATTTTTCGTAGTAGAGAGCTTGTCACTGACAGCATACATGCATCTGTTGAAGAACAAGCAGACATGTTCTTGCATGTTGTTGGTCACAATGAGAGGTTTAGGGTGGTTGACCTCACCTTTAGGAGGTCCGCAAAGACAATTAGTAGGTTCTTCTAGAAGGTGTTATATGCGGTAGGAGAGCTGATGAATGAATTGATTGTCCCTCCTGCTACCAATGTCCATCCTAGGATCCTTGGGAGCAGAACATGGTACCCCTATTTCAAGGTTGGTATCCATAATTTATCATATATATGTCTCATTCATTATCAGTTTAGTGTCAATGTTCACTTGCACTTATGTTTTGTTGATTTAGGACTACATATGAGCAATTGATGGTACTCATGTCTTAGCTAGAGTGTATGTGAAGATGCAAGCTGCCTTTAGAGGCAGGAAGCACACCATTACACAAAATGTGTTGGCAGCCGTAGACTTTGACCTCAGATTCACCTATGTGCTTGCTGGTTAGGAGGGATCTGCACATGATACTCTTATCTTGTCTGATGCTCTTAAAGGAGCTGATGGCCTTAGAGTGCCACTAGGTATCATCCAAACCACAAAAAACCATTGACGCTTTGCTTAATCCTAAATGAAACTACTAAAACATATCCCTATCTATTAATTTCTAGGCAAATTCTATCTTGTCGATGCTGGCTATGCAGTGAGGCCTGGTTTCTTGCCACCATTTCATGCCACAAGGTACCATTTGAGGGAGTTTGGTTCAAACCAACCTCAGAATCAAAGAGAGCTTTTTAATCTAAGGCATTCGTCTCTTAGAGTAACAGTTGAGAGGGCTTTTGGGGCTCTAAAGAATAGATTCAGGATATTGGACAACAAGCCTTTCCACCCATACAAAACCCAAGTTAAGCTTGTTCTTGCCTGCTGTATTCTTCACAATTTGATCCTCAGGCATGGACAGGACGAGCATGTGCCTACTGAATCCACATGGACTCCTAACATCAATAACAATGCCTCACAGCCAGATCATGTCCCTGACAATGGTACCTAGGCACAACAGAGGGAGGCATGGGCTGCATAGATGTGGCAAAATAGGAGGAATTCTAGGGTGTAGTGGCATGGTGTGTGTACTGTTTAGTAGCATTGATGGAACTTGTATTTAACTGAGACCTATGACACTTTGCAATGATGTAGTACCTATTCCTTTTCTGCCTATTTGATCTATTGAACTTGTATTTCATATCATGTAATTTGTTTTCCTTACGTACTGGTTTATTCAATGTTATGCTGGTTGTTGATAGAAAATGGACAATATGCTTGACCAGGTTGTTAACATTGGTGGTGAGGACAATGTGGTGGAACAGGGTGGGGTAGTTGCTGCTGATGATGGCAATCCAGTAGCCCCTCAGCCCAATGGTCCAGTCTGGGTTCATGCTAAGGAGGTTCCATGATTTGGTGGGGCAGGGGGTCAAACCTGACAAAGGGTTTAAGGAGGTACATGTTAGGTAGGTTGCACTCATGGTCTCTGAGTTTGCTGGGGTTAATGTGAGCACCCAACAGATTTACAATCACCTGAGAAAGTGGAGGCAAAAGTGGGTTAAGATTGTTAGGCTCAAGGATTTGAGTGGTGCTCTGTGGGATGAGGACCACCATATGATAGTACTTGATGATGAACACCTGCTTGGCCACACCAAGGTTAGAAACTATTTGGATAACTCCTCAGCTATCCCTTTTCTTTTGCTCCCCTATGTCTAATAGTTATATCTGTTTCACTAGCTAGGACCATCCTGCTGATGCTAAGTTCTTGAACACACCAATAGAGAACTATGTTCAGATGGAGGCCATCTTTGGTGGTAACCAGGTGAAAGCTCTAGTTTGGTTTTGGTTAATTAATGAAACCCTAAGTGCTAACCTAGTTTATCAAGATGATTATGAGATAGGTAGCACTACTCCAAGTGATGAAGCAATGACAATGGTGATAGCATGGTGATGATCAAATGCTTGAACTTGAAAAAGAAGAAAGAGAAAAACAAAAGGCTCAAGGCAAAGGTATAAAATGTAGGAGCCATTTTGTTTTAGTGATGAAGACACTTAGTGAGTGTGATCAAATTTAGGATAGATAGCCGTACTATTAAGAGGAGTGTAACTCATGTTTGCCTCACGGTTATCAAAGTGCCACTAGATGCTCTAACTCATTGCATATGCATTTAGGATCTAGTGGAGTGCTAACACACCTTGAAAATATTTGTGAAAATATGCTAACACATGTGCACAAGGTGTTTGCGAAGTTGAGATTATGTGGAAGGATTTTTTGTGTAGCTTTTGGAAAAATGAAATGTCTATTCTCTATTGCGCCGGATGCAAAATTCTTAGTGGTTTTGGCACATTTGAGCAAGGGTGAAGAAGTTAGAGTTGAAATGGAGTTATGTGAAATGATCTTTGGCGTCGGTCTCTTGGATTGACACTTTTGATCACTCAAATGACCGACGACCTTGGAAAGGTCACTCAGTTGTCCGAGGTTTAGATGTCGAGCAACACGATGGGTAGGGTTGAGCACCTATTTGGCCGATGATGCAAACTCCGGTCAAGGTGGACGGATTCTTCATGTTCCGGTCGCTTAACACGTCTCGGGGAGCTTTTTGCATGGGCGGCCATCACGCTATGGGATAGGCCCATTCCCAAGTCCGGTCGGTATGCCTCTCCGGAGCGTCCGGGATGAGCGTGTTTTGCCCCAAAAGGGGTACAATGGCTCTATTTGATGGGGGCTCTATTTATAGCCCCATGGCCGGCTCAAGGGTTCTCTCTTGCACATTTTCATTGACATAGCAACCTTGTGAGCTTGGCCAAAGCCCTCCCACTCATCTCCATCATTGATCCATCATCATTGTGAGATTGGGAGAGAATCCAAGTGCATTGCTTGAGTGATTGCATCTAGTGGCACTTGGTATTGAGTGGTTCTTGACATGGATTTCGCTTGTTTCTCTTGGTGGTTGCCACCACCTGAGACAGTTGGAGCAATGGTGAAGGAAGGATCATGACGAGTTGGTGATTGTTCGTGGCCGCCTTCGGTGATTGTGAGGGGAGTTGTACCTTCCCGGTAGTCTTTGAAAGGTAACTCTAGTAAATTGCTCGTGTCATTGAGTTACCTCACTTGTGGGTCAGTTCTTGCGGTGTCCTATCGTGTGGACAAGGTTTGTGAAACACCTCTTAGCCACTTGCCACCAAGTGTTGGTCACATGGCTTGGTATGTTGACTAGCGTGTTGGCAAGGGTACGTGAACCTCGGGAGAAAAATCGGTTGTCTCTTGTCATTTGCATTCTCCCAGTGATTGGCTATATATTCATCGTGTAATTGGTTCACTCCACGACCCGACGGTATAATCGTCTCACTTACTCATTTACATTTCCGCAAACTAGATATAGCAAGCTCTTTAGTGTAATTAGAATTGAGAGCTTGCCTTGTGCTTTACACATATCTAGTGGAGCTCTTTAGTGTAGCATTTGTGAGAGCTCTTAGTGAGTAGTGGTCAAGTAGATTGTGTGCCAATAGATCATTGCAACTAGAATTGTTGGATAGGTGTCTAGCAACCCTTGTAGAGCTAGAGCAAGTTTGCATTTCGCTATTTGTCTTACTAATCAAATTGCTCTAGTTGATTTGTAGTTTTTAAATAGGCTATTCACCCCCCCCCCTCTAGCCATATTAGGACCTTTCACCATGCCATAGGCAGGTATGCAATGGGCTCAAATGAGCCTTTGGGTACTCCAACTGACATTGGCCAAGGTGATATTGATGCTGTTGAGGACATCACTAACTTAGGTGGCACAGA